CAACTTCTTTTAAGTTAACACCGTTTTTCTGCAATACGATATCGGCAATCTGCATCATCTTCTTTTCCGATAAGTTAATTTTCAGGTCACTTTCTTTAGGAGTTAAACTCCAGCAGCAGCAGCACAGTCACTGATCCCCAGATTACCTTTCAAACCAGCTCCCGACATATGATCTCACGGCAGTAAATGAAAAGCTTCGACGACGTCGGATCCTCTCGCTTCACGTCCCTCTTGGCTGCCAGACGGATTGCAATGAAAAAAAGCGTTTTGTTTGATAACATCTTATGTTCGTTTTCTTAATCATCTCCCGATAGTTCCCCCCAAGCGCTTTATCTGCAAATGGTCGTAGTACAACTGCAATCGTTTCTGCACTACCGCATACTTTTCGTAATTGGTGATCTGGACACAAAGAAGGAGCTGATACTCCCTTATGCGTTCCAGCAGCTGGGTTGAGGCGAAAACATAGTACACTGTGCTGTAACAACTTCGTAATTCAGCATGCTCCCTCGGCTGCTGCTCAGCGATGAATCTTGTTTTTCATTTAATCATAATCTTTTACGAACAGCTTATGAGTATAAATAAGCAGTTCGGGCGGTAGTTATTCATTCCCTCATTATCGCCTTCTTATGTAGCAAAACCGCTTCTGAATTCCTCAAACCTCGATTTTAAAAAATGATACTGCTACGGGACCAATCCCCGTCTTTCGCTTGCCTCCAAATTACCCAAGGCACGATAACCTACCAATCATACGTATATACTCATAAACGCCGGTGGCTCCTTCGCGCAATTTTTCTGATGCTTCGTACAAAATAGCACCGGGTTCCGCTGAGGCGACACCTAGCACACTGTCAACAACGTCTGCAATGAATTAATTTCCACAGGAATGCGTTCATGGAACAATAAAACAGAGAAGTGCTCATCCGTCACTTGGCATTTTTTGATTTTTACTAAATCCTTCGCAACACTGTCTAAATTTTGCGTCTCTGTTCAAAAAAATTCATAACATTCTCTCTTCCTACACGAGCATTTGCAATATTCGGAAGGAATTTGTCACTCCCTCACTTTCCTTGAGCAAACCTCCGAAGCACCTGGGAGAGGGAACAATCCTGAAAGAATACCTGGAACTTGAGACAACAGAACAAGCTGATTCGCAGTGAAAACTTTGATCCCGTCGAGTTCCATATCAATCTCCAAAGCACTTTCGAAATCGTATCTAAGATATCACTCGTAAAATGACAAACGATATGACCATGTCTCATCGTTTTAATAATGCAAAATACGAAAATGTTAAACATGTATGCGACTTGATGGACCGAAACATTCCTATTCAGGTTTTTATTCAGATTTAAGTTATTCACATTCCCTTTTATTCCCCTACTTTCATACCCTTACTTTTTACATAAATACACATCATCTAAAATTAAAATTACAAAATATGACAGTTTTTTTTTAAACTTACGTATGGTACTCCGAACACAATGAAATCAAACATAACGATTGGCGTGAACGTTTCAAGGCGATTACTTCGTTGCCGCACCTGTAAGAGTGATAGATGACGCGGCAGAGCTCGTTTATAAGAATAATTAAAATTTCTATGCAATATTTAAAAACCATCACAAGTCTAGAATAAGCCAAATGTAGCTTAATTGAGGCAGGCGACACAAATGACGGTAATTTGTAGGTGGAGTTCAGCAGAATGAAATGAAAACAAGCAATACCCTACATAAAAACAAAAACTAAGCGCTTTTAGTACAGATTAACATTCCCAAGCCAAACCAAGAATTCCTCTATGAAGAATTCTGTGTTATTTTGATAAAAGTTTTTGCCCTATAATAAACTTCAGCAGTAATCTGACCGACTTTTACACAGCTTAATTCTAATTTTCCTAAGTTCTTTCCTACAAAGACGATTTTAGCATTCTTTTCTTCTCTCTTTTCCCCTGTACATTTCTCACTCCAACCCCTCCCCCCTCCCCCCTTCTCCCGTCTATCCTCTTTTGGAGTGCAGCATTAATCGGCGTTGTGATATTTTTGAAGCCAGAGAAGTATTAAACAAACCAAGTGAGACTGGAAGCACAGAATGCATCGACGGGGGAAGGCAGTGATACAGTAGAAAGCAGCGAGAAGTCGGAATCGACGATCTGCACCACAAAGCTGGAATGCAATAGTGATATCCGAGAACTGTCCCAATTGGGGACGATATTGATGTACTCACCGCCGTTGATTTTCCATGGCACATCCTGTAAAATTGATATTTCCCTGGATATTTAGCACAGCTCAAAATCTCTTCAGCTATTCACATTCACAGTGCTTCAACCTACAGTCTTCTTAGCGAAATTTATCATAGTTTCGTAGCATGAGCCCCTAAAAAATTCATTTGCAACAAGACGAGTATTATATATATGAAAACTAGGGAAAACCTCATCGCGCCCTCCGAAAAGTCATTTCAATTCTTGTAGTAAGTTCGTGAAAGATCATAATGCATATTATCTAATTTTGCAACGCTGCATTACTTCCCTTGCAGAAAAGCTCAATTTCGCAACCTCTGGCTCCTAAAGTGGACGCAGAAACTGCTAAGAATTTTAATGTGGATCTTCTGCTGATAGTACCACAATTACCGGAAATGTACTTTGTTCATCAAGTGTGTCTAACTGTGAATCTGACACTTCTACAAGCCCTAACATGACTTGTCTGTTAACTTCCCATCTTGCATCTAACTCATTTCGTGCCTGAACTCATCGTTAGGCAATAGGTCGGAACAGATATTTTAAAATAATTGTACGAGAAATCGACAATTAGGTTACTGCCAACTGCCCGGCAATTGAAAGCACATGCAGAACAACCAGCTTCACTGAATTCGCAAAGTTGCTCTAGCTATTGCAGTGACCAGCTATTTGAAGTTCCGGTGGTCCTCAGATCCAGAGATCAACAGTCCTTCGCTTTTTTCCCTGCTTTGAAAAAAAGAAACATGAGGACACAGTCGCTCAATGGACAACCTAACCGAGCACCTCATCTTCGTGTGAAGAGAAAAGGAATAGGCAGTGTCGAGGTACGGTGAAGAACAAAAATTAACCACCTCCAAATATGTCGAGAGGACACTGTACCGCATTTTTGCCGGCGAATTTTGGCTAAAGCGAACCATACATCAGCCTAGCAACAGTTAGTAAAGCTATAAAGAATACGAAGCTGTGCATTTAAAAACGCAAAACGTATGCTATAAAACGGCGCAGT